ATTTTCAGAAAAAATGGCAGTTTTTAGGAAAAATGACATTTTTTCAGCGCTCGGAGATGGTGGTGCAGGGAGGTAGTACAGGCGGTGGGAAAGGCATCCATTTTTTTTAATTGTTTTATGGGGTTTTTCTATTTATTATTATTTTTTTAAAAAATAAACTAAACTAAAAAAAATATGTTTTTAATTTTTATTTTATAAATATTTTAGAATTTTTTTATTTATTTTTCTACAAATTTTTGAATTTTTTCGAATTTATTATGAATTAAACATTTAATTAACTCATGTTTAAAGGAAGGGTAAGAATGGAATGAAAAAATAGATGTGTTTCCAATAGGACTAATTTGGTCCTATTTTGAAAAGAAAAACATAGTAAGTCATATTTTGAGTTTTTGCCATAGTTTTAGTTCTATTTGGAGAGTGCCTCTTAGGATTACTTGATTCGTTGAAAAAAGAACCTTGTGATACATATCAAAGAACTCTTTTAACACACAAGAGATAATTCAATCTGGAGTAATGATTTAAAAATATATTTATTCAAATAATATTTTACTATATTTCTATAAGCCACTCCTTTTAAATTTAATTTAGACCAAAAGTAGAATAACTTTGAAATGATTACTAAACAAATTGAAGAACTATAAAATGGAGGATTTTGTCTCAAAATTACACTGAAAAAATCCACTATTCAAGCACTTTTAAAATCAATTTTTAGTTAAATTTGATTCTTCTTCTTGTTGTTACTGTTATTGTTGTTATTATTACTAGATTCCCACCCGTGCGATGCACGAGATATAAATAAATAATAATTATACTACGTATGATATTAATAATTAACATTATTAGTTAATATGTAAGAGAATGCAAAGAGTATACACTAACAAATTAAGGAAAAGATTGTTATGACTTTTAATGGGCAGAGGGCATGTTTTGAAATAAGAAGGAATAAATAGGTCTCGTTTAAAAAGAACATTAAATAGATATTGCATTATGGTTTCTACAATCTACACATTTCAAACGCGCCTTAAATGATTAGAATTCTCTACTCTCGATATTGTAACATAAAGTTGATTATGGTGAACGTTAATTTTTTTATGAGTCGAAATAATAAAAAGGGCAATTAATTAGTTATAAAGATTAGAATTATAAAATTATTAAAGTAAATAGTACCACTTTTTTAGTCGACGAAAATGTTATAATATGTTTTTATGAGGCCACTGATTTTATCCAACATTTTTTATCCAAAATGGTAACTATTAATCATTAGGTTTTTAATGATATTATTTGAATATAATATACATAAACCAACTAATTTATTAATATAAATGAAATAATTTTACTAATCTAATAATTTAAAAAAAGATAATATTAATTGATAAATTTTTCAAAAACACAAAAATGGGACCATTTTAAATGCCCATTGCAATTTGAATACCCGAGCCCAACATACAAATTAATATTACACGGAGTATAATCTACCTACCCACATCCCAATTACCCATATTTCATATCCGTATAATAAACATATATACGAAACCCTAGTACTCCTTACATAAGCACCTTAAGACCTATCGCCATCCAATATCGATCCGTACATTAGACCTTCATCTAACCTCCACCTCTTTTCGTCCAACCTAACTCCACCGGTCGTTTTTCCTATTAACTTCTACACCATAGAAGTAACAATGAATCAGATGTTGTCCGAAGTTTGCTTTTCAAAATTCAAAACTGGCGCTAGAATGATGCGGCGCATATCTGGAGCAATGATGGGCTGTAGGTTTGACCTGAACCGAGCGAAACCCTAACTGCGGATGGTGTTTGCGGAGGACTTTCCATGGTGAGGGGGAACGGGTTGTTTTTGTGTATTCAAATCTATCAGTTCAAAGTTATTGAATCAGATTTTTTTGGGGAAAAACTCAAGCTAATTTGTTAATCAGATGTCATACATAACTGAACATATATATGACTTGTATCATTACACATCTAATTTACAGTTAGTACTGTTTAATATTGTTTGAACTATAATTTGATTTTTAAAAGCTCAACAAATAGGTAGGCTATATTTTAAAGACCTAAGTGAATATGATTTTGAAGTAAGAGTTTTGAATCTGTATTTTAAAGACTCAGGGGAATGTGATTTTTGAATAATATGAGTAAAAGCTGAAATTCTATTTAACCACATTTACTTGCATATTCATATTAAACTATAACTTCTGCACCTCATTAACACAATTTCAAGGGTGTATGACTCTTATTTGTGTTACAAATGAATACAATCTGCAGTTCATCACTATGTATGTAGTATGCATATCAACAATATACTGGATTGTACTCATTTTGTCATGTGTAATTTGATTTTAAAACGTCCAACTACAGCTAAAAATCTATTTTAGGTAATATCTCTGCTTTGTACTGCTTAAAGTCAATTCTTTACTTTGGAAATATTACACGCTACATATGCACTAAAACATGAATGTGTAAGCTGTGAATGTGGTTTAGGTAAATGCAACATTTGATATTGGCTGAAAGCATATAGAAGAATCTCAGACCTTGTCTAACTATTCTCTTGTAATTTGAGCATATCACTTGGATATTTCTCCTCAATTTTGGACGTTTTTGCATTCTCATCACTTCTTAAGGATGATATCTAAAACAAAACTTCTATTCATTATAAGAGATACAAATATATGGACTTTTATTCTTAAATGAGTTTGCTTCAAACATGTTAAAGTGAATTACTCTACTTGGAAATCATTGCTCTGAATAGTAAACACATTGTGATTGTTACTTTTAAACATAAATGCATATTTTTAACATGTAGTCTTTTAACATATGTTTGTAATCACATAATTAGCATCATGATTTTAAAAGTAAACATCTCTACTCGTTTGTAATCACATATTTAGCATCAGAATTCTAAAATTATAATAATTTATTTCTTTAAAAATTGTTTTGGTAGTACACATATTCTTATGGCTAGTACATGCTGACCTCATAAATACTTACTTGCTCACAAAAAAGCCTTCCAAAAAAATCCCGTTAGTAATAACAGTTTAGTTAATAATCCTATTCTTATGGCCTACTATAAGTGTTGGGAAATCATAGTACTTTCTTTTGGCCAATTTGCTTTCTGTCGCTCAAAACATTCCCCAACCATAGAGCCAATGTTTCTTACAGTCTTCTCTTATAATCCGTTTTTTATTGGCCTGTTTAAACTACTTAGTGGTTGCCATTTGTTAGTTTTTCGTGATGGAAAAGTTATACCCCTCAATGAGCATTGAGCATACAGTGTTAAAAATCCCTTTGTACATTGTTTTATAGATTGTTTAAAAAGTGCTTATATAAAAAACCTTGTTTCAGTTTTTACACTAAAAAGCCTAAACACTACAAAGATGTATAACTTTTGTACCCAAAACTATCATATAAATCCATGTTCTCATATTTCTTATATATAGTGTAATTGTTTTAATTTGGAAACAGATTCATACACACACACATATAAGACATGTACATGTTATTGAAATCTGGAAGACTTCATTTACAGGTTGTTATGGTGCTTTTGGTGATCTTCTTCATATCAATAGCTATTATGTATACAAAAAAGACAGTATTATAAGTGTAGTTGTATGTGAATGTAAAATGAAGTTTAGTCATCAATGGTGGTTTTAAAACTCTTTCACCATCCTATTGTTTACATACCCTTGTGGTTACTGGTATGTTGGTCTATCCCATATAACATGATCAAGTAGGGATGATTTATGGGTTTGATACTTTGGTAGCTATCTGGTACCAAAAAGTTCCTTGTACCATACATACAATTTTCTATTATTTTTTACTTGTGCATCTCTATTTGAGGCCTTTTCACTGTAGCATGAATCCTTCAACCCTGTCATACAATTGAATGTTAATAGTCCTTAGTAAAATCATAAAAAGAAGTCATGTTACCATCTATATTCAATTAAACGAACGTTGAGGTAAAATATTACCTTTTGCATTGCAAAACCTGTATTTGATGAACTCATCGGAATTGCTCAGTTACCATGCTCAGTTGCCAAGTAGTTTGGATGTGATGTGGTGTTAAACTGCCAAGTCAAGTGGTATTTATAGCCCTTTAAAATCTTGTAATCGTTGTGTTTTAACCAATGGATTTTAGGATGATGTTGTAGCATTAAATGTTCTCTTCAGCCGCACGTTTTTTTGATATGTTCACACAGGTGAGATATTAAAGTACACCCCATTTAATAGTTTTTATATGAAATCAGAACTTTAATATACGAAAGTACACTCCATTTAATGTTGTGTTTGGAGCCTTGAGCTTTGCATTTAATGCCCTTATGGAGCCATGAACAATCTACGTACAATGTTTTACACAGTCCCTTTTTTAATATTAAAATTGTCCTTTACATGTCCTTTTTATTGAGCCCCACACATTGCTTTATTGGGTGATGGCATGTGCTGGCTGTGCATTTAATGTTGTAACATTTTAGCCACACAATCTTTAAAACACATTAATACCGCCCCAGTTACCCAGCTGAACAAAACAGCTGTCAGCCAAGATTTGAAGACCCGACCCGACCCACTGCAGACCCGCCCGACCCGTGAGTGTGATGTTTTTGAGCGGGAACACTGTTCATATTTTTCTCTTGCTTTTGTATAATAGAAGATTATCAGCATCATTATCATTATCATTATCATTATCATCATCATCATTATCATGATCATTATCATCATCATTATCATGATCATTATCATTATCATTATCATTGTCATTGTCATTGTCATTGTCATTGTCATTGTCATTGTCATTATCATTATCATTATCATTATCATTATCATTATCATTATCATTATCATTATCATTATCATTATCATTATCATTATCATTATCATTATCATTATCATTATCATTATCATTATCATTATCATTATCATTATCATTATCATTATCATTATCATTATCATTATCATTATCATTATCATTATCATTATCATTATCATGACAGAGCTAGTTGTGAAGGTAAAGAAGCGGGAGATCATACTAGGAGAGAACATTTATGTGGCCGCCCATTGGGCCTCCGTTTTAGTCCAAAGAGTGGAGACCTTTTTATCGCAGATGCTTATATGGGTTTACTTGTTGTAAAGCCGAAAGGGGGTTCATCAACTCAGGTGGCAAAACAGGCTCAAGGAGCTCAACGTGGGTTTACCAACTCCCTGGATATTGATCACAAAAGTGGAGTCATTTACTTTACCGACAGCACTGCAAAATACCAACGAAGGTACATTTTCAGTTAGGAAATATGTTTTCATTTCATATTTTATCAACGAAGCTAGAAATAATGTGTTTTATGTATTCTTCCATTCATTTCAGGAATTACATTTCTGCAATATTTAGTGGTGACAACACAGGGCGACTGTTGAAATATGATCCAGAAACTAAACAAATCTCTGTCATGCTCGATAATCTTAGATTCCCCAATGGTGTGGCACTAAGCAAAGAAGGTGACTTCATTCTTGTTGCAGAAACCACGACATGCAAAATAGTGAAGTTGTGGCTCAAACCTCCAAAAGTTGGGGATGTGGAAACCATCTTGGAGCTCCCGGGATTCCCAGATAACATTAAAAGGAATGAGAAAGGCGAGTTTTGGGTTGGGATTCATTCAAGGAGAAGAAAATTCATGAAATGGGCTTTGTCTACAAATTCTTGGATTAGAAATGCTTTGATCATCAATCTCCCGTTTGATATTACAAAGGTGTATACATATTTGGGTTGTGTTAGTGGAAATGGTTTTGGAGTGAGGATAAATGAAAATGGGGATGTGTTGGAGATTTTGGAGGGCATGAATGGAAGAAATTGGGAGCATGTGAGTGAAGTTTGCGAAGAAAATGAAAATTTATGGATAGGATCAGTGGATATGCCGTTTGCAATTAAAGAGAAGATAATGAGATAAGTGTCATTTTTAATATAAATGTAGGACTATAGTTATATGTAAATCATATTATAAGTTTCATTATTTAAGTGGTAGGAAAATAATGCATGTTAGCATATACGGAGTATTAAAGAATTGATGTGTTTCATGATGACCAAAACACTGTATTAAAAAGACTTTGTATATGACAAATATAGTTGATAAACAAAAATTTGACCAGTTATATGTCAAATTATACTCCATCCGTTCCCAAAAGGACTTTTCTTGATTAATGACAATCAACTTTAATCAATGATATTTTTTAATACCAAATTATTTTAATTATGAGAATAATATCAAAATGTTCGTTATTCAAAATATTTTCATAAAATAAGTAATTTTTTTAAGTTATATACAAATATAATACTTAAAATCATTTTCTAAAAGAAATAATTACATATATAACTAAAATAAAGGTTGTTTACAAGAATTTGCCTAGTGACTAGAGTAGCAATGAAATCATAGTAACTTATGTTTAAATTTTAAACTTAATTTACCATGACACTATATTGTAGTCATTATTAGTCATATTTTCGTAAATAAGTTTTATTTTAATAATATATTTGGAAAAAAAAACTTTCTAAAATTTGTCATCATTGACCAAAAAAGTCAATATGACGAACGTTTTCAGGGCGGAGGTATATTATACAACTGGTTGTCCTTGGGGATGATACAACCAGCCATTTTTGAAATTCTGAACTTTGAGGGTAAATGAAAGCCCCCCACCCATAATTCCAGTTTCACCGCACGCTCAACCCCTTCAAGTCTAACCTTCATCATCAGCATCAACATAACATCAACCATGGGAATAAAGCTTGGGTGTTATTTTTGTACACCTAATTCAAGTTCATCAATTTCAAACAGATACCATGATATCAAATTTAAAACTCATGAAAATGAAGTACTTGACAAGTAAACTAAATGAATTCATTGGTATAATAGAATGATAACATTTTAGTTGACGATTTAAAATATACGTAGTAATTGATCACACAATACCATAAAATTAAGGGTGAAATAATAGAATTATTTCACACACCGATATATCCGTGCCATCAAGAGTAATCCCACTGTTACTATTACTTCTACCTCCACCAAACCTGCACTTCATATGCCCAGTCTTGCTTTGACTAGGGCTGAAACTCTTGGTCTCCAAAGTTTATCGTCATACTTCCAACTTTGTTTTAACACTCGATTGTATCTCATGAATCAATACAATATCGTCGGCAAACATCATGCACCAAAGTCTATCTTCTTGAATGGACTTTGTAAGTTCATCAATGACTATAACAAATATGATAGGATTCAGAGTCGATCTTTGGTGCACTCCGATAGTAATAGGGAACTTTGTAGTCCTCCCTACATCAGTACAGATACTTGTAGTACAAGCCTCATACATATCCATGATGATACTAATATACTTACGTGATATGTCTTTTCTATTCAAGACCCACTAAAGGACTTCTTGAGGTACCATATCATATGCTTTTTTATGTCAATGAAACCCAAATGCAGGTCCTTTTTATGACTCTATACTTCTCCACAACTTGCTTAAGAATGTGAATAACCTCAGTTGTTGAGCGTCCACGCATAAAACCAAACCGATTTTACAAAATTTTCACACTTTTTTGAAGTCTTTGCTCAATCACTCACTCCTAAAGTTTCATGGTGTGACTCATAAGTTAAATCCTTTGATAATTGGCACATTCTTGTACATCACCCTTATTTTTAAATATGGGAATAAGAGTACTCTTCCGCTAATTCACTGGCATTTTATTGTTTCTCCAAATCATGTTGAAGAAACGTGTAAGCCACTTGATGCCTCTCTCTCCCAAACTTCTCCAGACCTCGATCGATGTGTCATCTGTACTCACTGCTTTAGTTTCTTCCGCCCCATCTTTCTCAAAGTCTCTTTAACATCTATCATTTGGATCCTTCTCACAAAATCCCAATTTACAATACAATCTAGTTGCAATACCCAAGATTAATTTAAGAGGATTAATAGTACTACTCATACCAACAGAGGTGCATCTCCTTTTAAGGGAGCTCATCATCCAAGAACTCCAAAGTTAAGCGTGCTTGCACGGGAGTAGTCTTGGGATGGGTGACCCTTTGGAAAGTTTCTCAGGGCGCGCACGAGTGAGGACAAAGTGCGCGGTAAAGGCTCGTGGTGGTTTGTGAGGACAGTACTAAAGGTCAGAAGTAACTACCTCGGGCCCTGCGGGGCCGGGGTGTTACAGGTGGTATCAGAGCAACCCTGCGACAGTGTGCTGATCCGTTGGATATCGGGCAGGCACTTAGCGGGGCAAGATTCTGGGGTTTGATTGAGATAGTTAAGGGCACAACGAGAACGTTGTGATCCTAAGTGGGGGTGATTGTAATACCCAATATTAGTTTAAGTGGATTAATAGTACTACTCATACCAACGGATGTGCATCTCCTTTTAAGGGAGCTCATCATCCAAGAACTCCAAAGCAATCCCGTGCTTGCACGGGCGTAGTCTTAGGATGGGTGACCCCCTGGGAAGTTTCTCAGGGCGCGCACGAGTGAGGACAAAGTGCGCGATAAAGGCTCATGGTGGTTTGTGAGGACAGTACTAGAGGTCAGAAGTAACTACCTCGGGCCCTGTGGGGCCGGGGTGTTACACTAGTATAGTAAGATTATCAATACCTTGCACTTTATTTCCAAAGTGGAACAAGGTATCAAAGTATGACTTCCACCTCTCTTTCATTTCCTCGTCCTCCATTAGTACTCTTTAATCGACAACCTTCACACACTTAACTTTTCTGATATCTTGATTCATATGATCACGAAGACGAGCAAGATTGTGAATATCTTTTTCTCCTTCCTTAGAGTCCAATTTTACATAAAACTCCTTGTTCACTTTCCCTCTCGCTTCCTTTACGGCTTTCTTTTCTTTTCTTTTAGCCTCTTTGTACTCCTCTATGGTCTCGTTGCTCCAACTTTTTCTCAACTTCTTGTAGCATTTTCTTTTGGTCCTTAGTGCTTGTTTCACTTCATCATTCCACAAGAAGCGTCCTTTTTTGGTGGCAAACATCCTTTAAATTCTCCGAGTATCTCTTTGAATTTGCCACTTTGTTAATGGTTGACTCCATTGATAACCACACATCATGCACATGTGCATCGTTATCAATACACCATACATCTTTCTCCAACACTTTGTATGCAAAACTTTGTTGGAAATCCCCCTCGAGCCTGGTAACCTTACAACTAGTGTAGCTAATTCTCTAAGTTGTTCGTACTCAGAAGTAGCCAATTCAGGTACCATTAGCTCCACTTTTATAGGTCACAAGTGAGAGTCTCTTTTATTGAATCAAGTTTCATTACAACCATTTCATACGTTGAGGCAAAATCAAGAAAGTTTTTCCACCCTTCATTTCTAGTGTCAAAACCATGTTTGATGTGAGTTTTCTCGCACTTAAAAAGATTGTAATATAGCGGTGAAAGTACGAGTATCGTCTCCACAGGGACGGTAAAAGGGAATTAAGAATTAACTAAAATCAGCGATAAAGAATAAATAAAACAAATGCGGTCGTGCGAGATTTGGTTGCTTGAGAAAACTAAAATTGCAAATAAATGACTAAAAGTAAATATTTGGGTTCTTCTTAATTAACGACGAAGGGAACAAGGATTGATTCCAGGGTAATCAGATTTCTGGCAGATCAGGCTTAATTACATGAATTTATTTTAATTGAGCCTAGCTAATAAATACTAAGTTCTTACCGCTCTCGCGGCGTAGAGTACAATAATTTAGGGGACCAGGCTGATCTCTCATGCGACAGGATCCTAAATTATTGCCAAGACGAACGAGCTTACGGCCCCTTAATCGCTACTAATCTCTTAGCAAATGATTAAGTGTGTGTGAATGTGTCCTAGAACAAATTAGATCTCTCTTAATTCATTCTACATGCGATTGTAATTCTAGTGGCCATCTAGGTTACAAAAGATATCAATTAAATTACTCAATCACAAATTAAACGACATTCATGCAATTTACACCATCAAGAACCTAACCTTACATAGTGATTAACCCCTTCATCAATCCCAAATCTCTAATTAAAACTACTCCCGACTCATAATTGAAGAATCAATAGAATTGAGAAGAATATAAATAATTGCCATTAATTAAAAAGTGGGAACTTACAAAGAATCTCAAAGAATAGAAAAAATCTGCTAAATAAGTTCCATCCCCCTTAATTAGGATTATGGGGGTGGTATTTATAGGAAACAAGGCAATTTGGACTGAATTAGGACAGATTTTGGGTACGCACGACACCACGCACGCGTGCGTGGCGTCCGTGCGTCCGACAGACATCCGCATAAAAGGGGGACGCACGCGTGCGTCTCTAGCCACGCACGCGTGCGTGGCTGACAGTAAGGTTAACTTCGTTTTCTTAATTGGACGCATGTGTGCGTCCTTGCACGCACGGCCGTGCGTAGCACTCTCTTCCGAATTCCTCATTTTCTCCCGTTCAAGTCCCCGTTTGGCCCCGCGATCAATCGAACAACTCTTTCTTCATCGAATCTTCATCGTGAATCTCCCGGTGCCCTTCAAAACTCTGAATTCATTCTCGAACACTCCTCAACTCATCCCGATCACTCCTTAGTGCGCCGATACCGGGCCCTAAAAGACCTGATTTCATATCTAAAAATGCCAAAACTCGTTCCAACACCCAACTAACATGATTTGAGCTAAACATGATACTTATGACGCCTCAAAGTGAGGAAAACCATCAAAATTCGACTCCAACACGCATTAAAAGCGTGTCGAAATATGAACTTATCAGATTCCCCCACACTTAAGCTTTTGCTTGTCCTCAAGCAAATCGAACAACGGGACATACGATAATCACCACACGGAATTAAAACAGTTACCACGCACACGTAGCTACAGGGATATTCACAGAACAGACATTCTAAGCTTTGAAAATCTTCCCTAAACTACATCTTTGTACTCAAGCTAAACTTTTTGACAACATTATTCCCAATATCCTTAAGGTAATGACAGCATACACAAATAAACTAGCTGTTGATCAGAAGGACTCGTGAAGGTGATGTTGAATGGTGAATGGTAATAAATAATCCCTTTCTATTGAGAGATTGGAATATTCTAACAAAGACACGATGCATTCAGGAACTTCAGGGCTATTCTTAGGATCAAGGA